TAAATGCTAATGCTCAGAAGAGGGCAAGGAAAATGAGTTCTGTGAGGAAATTTGGAAGGAGATATGCGTGCTTGGCTTGGAGAATAGGACATTTGGAAGGAAGTATGTGTGCTTGGCTTGGAGAATAGGAGACGAGGGAGAACATGATTGCAATCTTCAAAGATTTAAAGGACTGTCTAATGTGCTTTAAGTTATAGATTTTGATTAAATTGTAGTGTAACAATTTGGCAATGGAATCAGTTACCTAGATGGGTGGTAAGCTGTCTCTCACTGGAGCTCTTCAAAGGGTGGATAGTGATTATTTGACAACAGAATGGGGCAGTTTGTGACCCTCCAGATAATACACTGCAGCTCCCATAATTCCTCATTAGTGGCTGTGCTTGCTAGGTCTGTTTGAAATTGCAGTCCAGCAAGATCTGGAGCACTGTGTTTTACACACCCCTATGAAAAACAGTGATTTTTTTTAAAAAAAGCATTATTGACTATATCTCGTATCTGTGTTTTTATGAAAACACACTGTTTTAACTAGACTTGAGTGTTGGCCCACTTAACAGGCTGAGTTCTTAAGAAGCCAGAGAAGGAAATGGGGAATGTTTCCAGAGAAACCACCCATATATTTGGAAGGTAAGAACTGGCGAAAGGATTCCTGCTGAATAATTGTAGGCAGGCAGGCTGTAGTCTAGCTGGCAGGAATTTTTGTACTGTATATTGCATAATGATTGTCAGTCCAAGCCTGGCATAAGGTGTAGATGGAAGACTGGAAGTTTAGGGGTAGATGAGAGCTGAAAACCTCAGAGTTCCTGATTGTCAAAACAACATACTGTACAAAGAACCTGTCAAAACACCCTATCTGTTCTAGTTTTTGAAATAAGTATGTTTCTTAATATGTGGAAAAATATATGATTACTGTATTGGGTATTGCTTTCATTTGCTCATGTTAGAGGAGACTGTATTAACTAATGGCTACAATTTACCTTTCCATGACATGCAGGTTATAATCTTCACTTAATCTGAAACCATCTTTGTCCAAACAATTATAAATTGCTACCATAAAACAAGTTTCACACATTTGTTAGTCATTTCTGCAAACCGTTATGCATACAAAATGATAATTAGTGCAATTCAGTTAGTCCAGGGGTGGGCAATTAATTTCTATAGGGGGGCCACATGAAAAATCTGAACTGTGTTTGGGGGCCAAACCAACTTTACTTAAAAATAAAATGAAACAGTGATGTTATGATTGCTTTTATTTTAAACTTGTTAATCTTCACAAATACTAAAGAGGTTTTTTGTGGTATGTTAAAGATAAGCAACTGATCAACTTTAGAAAAAAGCTATAATGGTTTTGATGTCCGGCAAGCCGGACAGGAGTGGCTTGTGGGCTGTATGTGGCCCTTGGGCTGCACTTTGCACAGGTCTGAGTTAATCATTGTCATGTTACTTGATTATTTCTTCATAGTGCTGCAATCGGCATGTGGTGTTAATTTACCCAGATGATATATTTGGTTTACTCCAGTGCAGTTAATTTTATCTTAATCTGATATTACGTGAAGTTGATCAGCTTTGAAGTCCGAACATAACACAGCAAGTGGACGTGTGAGGGGAATGCATACAAAGCAGTAGTCTACTAAGGGCCATATCAGGCAGGGCAGATGGTAGTGATAGAATACAGTGGTGCCTGGCAAGACGAGCGCTTCGTTTTACGACGAAATCGCAAAACGATGTTTCCTATGGGTTTTTTTCGCTTTGCGATGATCGGTTCCCTGCTTCGCTAACCGATTATCGCAAACGATGCTTTTCGCACAGCTGATCAGCAGTTTCAAAATGGCCGCTGGGTTAAAAAAAATGGCCGGCCGCTGTTTTCTGGCACGGATTCCTTGCTGCACGGGCAGCGAAAATGGCCGCGCTATGGAGGATCTTCGCTTGACGATGAGTTTCAAGCCCATAGGAATGCATTAATCAGGTTTTAATGCGTTTCTATGGGCTTTTAAAAATCGCTTTACGATGTTTTCGTTCTACAGCAATTTCGTTGGAACGAATTAACATCGTAATGCGAGGCACCACTGTATTAGTGCTCCCACAGTTATTGTTTAGCTATCCTGTGGGATTGCTTTGTAGAGCATATGTGAGGTACTCAAGGGGAAGTTGTTCAACTTTTTTTTAAATGCCATTTTGATACTCTAGATTTCTGTAAGCGTTCCACAGCAGGGAAATGGAAATGTTATTTTGGTTTGGCCCAGTAACTTCTGGAAATGGTAACAGGGAGGGAAAGAGTTGGAACTGTGTTTATTGATTTCTTTTACCACTATTTTAATATTTTTATTATTTATTTGTTTCAAATGTTTTACCCCACCTTTCTTCTTAAAAAGGACCCAAGGTAGCTTACATCATTAAAATACAGTATTTGTAAGCTAAAAACAGTAGGTGTACAGATATTGAAAAAGAATCAAACAAATGGCACATTACAAATAGTATACAAAATCAACATCAAAAACAGATTCAAAGCAACAGGATGTAACACTCAATTTAAAACACCTCTCAGATAGCCAATCACTAAGGAAAAGCTTGCTTGAAGAGAAAGGTCTTTGCCTGCCTGTGGAAAGGCAGTAAAAATGGAACCTCCTGTGGGAGAGAGTTCCAGAGTTTGGGAGCAGTGACAGAGAAGATTGTCTCCTGTGTCCTCACCGGATGCACCTGTGAAGTTGGTGGGACTAAAAGAAAGATCTTCCCTGATTATCTTAACACCTGGGAAGCTCCTGAAGGTAGATGCAGTCCTTGAGATAGCTTGGACCCAAGCTGTTTAGGGCTTTATAAGTTAAAACCAGCAGTTTGAATTTTACCTGGAACCAGATTAGTATCCAGTGGAACTGCTGTAATAGAAATTACCGTATTTTTTGCACCATAAGACGCACTTTTCCCCCACAAAACAGAGGGGTGGAAAGTCTGTGCGTCTTATGGAGCGAAGAAAACAGATTATATTTTCCTGTTTTCTTCTTCTAAAAAATTGGTGCGTCTTATGGAAAGGTGCGTCTTATAGAGCGAAAAATACGGTATGTGATCCCACCGCCTACGCCCAATTAACAATCTAACTACAGCACTTTGGACCAATTGAAGTTTTTGAACACTTTCCAAAGGCAGCCCTATGCGGAGTGCATTACAGTAATCCAGCTAGGAGAAAACAAAAGCATGCTTAGTGTATAATCAAGAGTGCATTCCAATGGAGATAATACCACTGACTCTGCATGTAGTACAACTCAGTGTTGGTATAACTGTGGCTTTGTGCTCTAATGATGTTTTACAGCAGCATTGTCTCAAACCCACTGTAGCTGGCTGAAGTCTTCCTACAGTTTAAAACAGGGAATATTGCCTACTGCTGAAACAAAATAAATATGAGGGTCTTCAGTGATTAGTCCAGCCACTTGGACTGTAATTCAGTCTTGAAGATAGTGTTACTGGGGAACATACCACTTCTATTTGTCTGGGGGAGACTGGTTAGCATCAATAATTCTAGTTGTACCTGCTTGTCCGGGTGATTGGGTGGAGATTGGGGATGTGAGATGGGGCGAGAGTAGTAGCTCTCTCGCCGGAGTGCCGTCCTTCCCTCACACTGTTGAAAGAGAGATACAGACTCTACCCACTTCACCTCCTAAGAGGACAGAGCAACAGGGGACAGACACTCGGGAATTGGAAGAAGAAACAAGAGGGTTAATGGTTGAGAGAACTCGGGAGAAATTGGTGGGAACAGAACAGAGAAAAAGGGTGGAGATAGAGGCAGGGACAGCGGAGATAAAAAGGAGAGAAGGGCAGTTGTCTCCAGGCTGGGAGTGGGTCTGGATGGAAAATCCATGAACCGGAGTTTGGGAAAGGCTGAGAGTACCAAAGGAAGAGGTGGATTATAGAAGGAGGAGAGATATAACCCCAAGACCCTCTTATTGGGGAGAAGCTGAAGCCAGGGAGTGGCAGAGGAAGTTGAGAGAGGAAAAGGAGAGAGTGGAGAGAGAGAGAAAGGAAAGATTAGAATGGAGAGTGAATGAGATGAGGAGGAGAGAATACAGGGAGGACCCTGGGCGACCCCCGTATTGACAGGACGTGCCAGGTGAAGTCTGAGACGACAACACCATACCCCTACTGGAGGGAGAGGTCGGACAGGCGGGTGAAGTCGGGTGCAACAACAGACTGGCAGGGTCCATGGAACACAATAGAAGGAAACCCATTTCTAACTGAAGGATGGAAACCCGTGGCCAACCCGTTGTCAACAGGAGAAAAGTTATGGGACAGTTTCATTGACAATTGTTACCTGTTAAATACCTGAATAAATCTTACTCCTGCTTCAAAGTTAAACAAATCTCATGACTTATTTGGAAGAAAAAGGGAATCAAAAGACGAACCCTCACGGGGGATTTTAATTTTTTTTTCATCTAGACTGCTGGTCTACTACAAATTGACTAGCATGTATTGGTAGCCTAACAATTGCTTGTATGACTCTTATGTTCGGAGTGAGCCCCCGTCGCTTGTCCCAGCTCCCGCCAACCTAGTGGTTTGAAAGCATGCAAAATGCAAAAATGCAAGTAGATAAATAGGTACCACCTCGGTGGGAAGGTAAATGGGGTTCTGTGTCTAGTCACGCTAGCCACGTGACCACGGAAACTCTTCGGACAAACGCTAGCTCTATGGGTTGGAAACGGAGATGAGCACCGCCGCCTAGAGTAGGACACGACTGGACAAATTGTCAAGGGGAACCTTTACCTTTACCTTTATTACCATACCCTTCTGTTAAAAAGTAGTAGTTTATATATTGTATTGGCATCAGCTTGAGGGAACACAATTAATTAGGCTTGCAGTGCACGAAATGAATTGCTGTCAATGTTTATGTGAAGTAAACTTGATTTATGTAAGAATGACAAATACAACTTTAGCGCAGTTTTTTGTTACAGTTTTAAGAGTTGCTGCAGGGAATACCAATGTGTTTAAACCTAAAACGTCTTGCATCTCGTTTGCAGAATGGAAGCTTCTTGCCTGGAGCTAGCTTTGGAAGGGGAGCGGTTGTGTAAAGCAGGAGACTGTCGGGCTGGTGTATCTTTCTTTGAGGCTGCAGTTCAAGTTGGAACAGAAGACTTGAAAACCCTCAGTGCAATTTATAGCCAGCTGGGCAATGCCTATTTTTACTTGCATGAATATGCAAAAGCTTTGGAATATCATCACCATGATCTAACACTTGCAAGGTAATTTAAGATTTTAGTATCATTAGAATCATCCAAATAATGGTGAGCTTTTTGTTTATGAGCAAACTTTGTTCAGTGGAGTATTGAATGGATGTGTTTAACCATATCATGACCGGGAGGGGGAAACAAATGATCGAAGAGCTTTGTTAGATACAGTTTTCTTAGGAAAAACTCTTAGGCTCAAGTTGCTTGATTGGTTTCTATCAGTTCAGCGATGTAAGAGTCTCATGGGTTTCTAGGGCAACACCCAAAGGTTGGCACTGGCTTAGCAATTTGGCAATGGCTTCCATTTAGCACTTATTCTAGCCCAAGAGTTTTTTAGCTTTACTTGCTTACTGGTCAAGAATAGCTGAGATGATTTGGCTTGGATGTTGATCTGTATTGTGTGTATCATTCCAACAGCCATCTGCCCTGACATACCCTATACTGTAGTGCCTCGCATGACAACATTAATTCATTCCGCAAAAATCGCTGTCGAACGAAAATGTCGTCATGCGATTTTAAAAAGCCCATAGAAACACATTAAAACCCAATTAATGTGTTCCTATGGGCTTAAAACTCACAGTCCAGCGAAGATTCTCCATAGCGTCGCCATTTTCGCTGCCTGTGCAGCGAGGAATCCGTGCCAGGAAACAGCAGGCGGCCATGTTTTTCACCCAGCGGCCATTTTGAAACCGCCGATCAGCTGGCCGAAAATCGTCGCTTTGCAATGATCGGTTACCGAAACAGGGAGCCAATCATCGCAAAGCCAAATTCCCCCATAGGGAACATCATTTTGTGATGGCTTTTGTGATCGCAAAATCTTCAACGTAATGTGATTTCGCCGTCAAACGGAGCGCTCGTAAAGCGAGGCACCACTGTGAAAGCAAACTCGAAGTCATCATACAAAAGATGGGCTGATAAGGATTTTCTACTAGAAGTATATCTTCATATAATTTTGGATTGTTATTTTTATTTATATATCAGTTTATCTAACTGAGCATCAGACAAAATGGCTTCTACGGCAGGTTAAATCAACAATGCAGTCTTAAGCCATTTATTTAATTATTGAATTTATACACCATCTGGCAACCAGGCCACTCTTGGACAGCTAACAATATGAGCAACAATATTAAAATACAAAGAAAAATAAATTAATACATAGCCAAATAGGGTAAATTAAAACAGATGGCAATGAAGGTGGTAAAAATGATGATGAAGAGGAAGGCAAAAGGATGGCAAAAGGGAGGCTGAGATCTTAATGCTCCGGGAAAGCCTAGCAGAAGAGCCAAGTCTTCAGTGCTCGTTTGAACCCACCCAGCAAGGGTGCCAGGAGGATTTAGTGAAGAGAATTTCCCACTGTGTTCAGTGATCACAACTTAATACATTTAGGATTATAGTCATAGAAATGTACAGTAATAATCATTCATATATGTTAATACATTTAGATTACTGTAATGCAGTAATCTGTCTTGTATTTTGGTTTGAAAGCTACATCTAAATAAAATAAATAAAATAAATATGTGGAATGTGGCGACTAGTGTGCTGAATGAGTCAGTGCATTATTGAAACAACTAGAGTACAGTGGTGCCTCGCTTAACGAGCACTTCGTTTAACGATGAATTCACTTAGCGATGACTTTTTCTGAGCATTTTTGTGCTCCATTTAACGATGGTCCCTATGGGCGATTTTCGCTTAGCGATGTTGGGACCATGCTTCGCATAACGATTACATTTTTGGGTCCCCTGTTTCGCTTAACGATGGTTTAAACAGCCTCATGTTTGCTGTTTTTTAAATGTTATAAAGTTAAAGTTTACTGTTCAAAATGTTTGAAATCATAAAGTGCACCTAATAAACTTTTTGTTAACCAAATTTAACCAATGCATTGAGATGCATTGAATAGGTTTCAATGCATTTCAGTTGGGAACTGCATTTCGCTTAGCGATGTTTCCTATGGCAATTTTTGCTTAAGGACGGCAATTTGTTCCTATTGGAACGGATTATCCGGTTTTCAATGCATTTCAATGGGAAACCGTGTTTCACTTAGCGATGTTTTCACTTAGCGACAAATTTTTGGGAACCAATTAAAATCGTTAAGCGAGGCACCACTGTACAACCTTGGTATCCACAGGGGATTGATTCTAAGCACCTCATCCAGAGGCTGGGAAGCTCGGATATAGAAACCCTATGTATAGCATAGTTTGATTCCTGCTGTAGGCCAGTTCTGGTAATACACCTTGGAAATGCATATTTCTGGAGTTTTTTATGTAATATTTTCAGGCAGCAGATAAATGAAACCATGGGTATTGATATGGTGGTCCAGCAGACCTACCAGCAGATCTGACTGTACTACCCAATTGGAGAATTGTGTTTTGAGCCTATATTACTGTGTGTGAGAGAGTAATATTTTTAATGTAATGTTTTTAATGGTTTTCTTTTTTAAAAACCACACGTTTTTGTTGTACATTATTTGGAGATACTGTCCAAAATCCTGTTGTGCAGTTACACAGATGACATAAGTTTTTGATGTGAATTGCCATAAGTTAGGAAATCTCTATAGGCATTATCTGTTGAATGCTGAGTCATACTATCTAGGATGCAATAGATAATGTCTAGGGAGATTTTTTAATATCGTAGCATTTCATTTCTAAAAGTTATGCTTTTTGGCTGACTGTCCAAAGGATTTGAGCCATTGTTAGATATGGGAAGCAATATAGAAATTTTTAAGAACAATAGTAAAAGTGTTAAGTTTTGTTTTCTAATTAGATAACTAAAATCCAGCTGTGGGTCTTGAGATGTTAGATAACATCTGTCATTTCTGATTCATTAGTTAATCTGTCTGAGAATTATGAGAACAGGATTTAAATTAAATCAGTGTGATTTAAGAACTGCACCGTGGGGGAGGTTTACATAGATTACAGAAAAAAGGCTTACTTATAAATACTTAAAATTGAGGATCTAATGTATATTTATGGACATAGATGATATTTAATGGGAATAACTGATACATAAAGTAGATTGAGTTTTTAAATATTAAAATAATGCTTTTTAAAAAATAAAAGTGACAGGAATAAGTGGTTGTTTCCTTCAATTTTTAGGACCATTGGTGACCAGCTAGGAGAAGCTAAAGCAAGTGGCAATTTGGGCAACACCTTAAAGGTCCTTGGGAATTACGAGGAAGCAATTGTCTGTTGTCAGAGGCACCTTGATATTTCCAGAGAGCTAAACGACAAAGTAAGAACAATTTATATGGATATTATTATAATGAATCAAGCAGTGCAGTTTTCATGTTTAAATAGTACTAAAGCTTCAGAGGCATCTGGTGCAATAGTAGAACAGTAGCAATTTTGTTCATTTCCCTAGGAAAGCATATGTGAAACGGATTGCCCAACAAGTTACTGCAACACCAGCTCACACACCTGACACCTCCCTGATTGGTGATGGTAGTAGATATGAATGTGGGGAAAGTGTAGACTTTAGTGGAAATCCCTCAGCAAAAATAACGAAGCTTACTTTTTTTCCTTGTGGATTAATTCAATAGCCCTTTGATGCTGGATAATGTAAAAAATCCTCAGCAGATCACATAATTCCCTTGTCATAATGAATGTTTAGCATTTTAGATAATAGACCTTCATGTTCTGTAACCTATGGAGGTGCCAAAGAGTTCACTAGAAGGACTTTGAGGCAACTAGAAGGGGACCTTTCATGGAACACGGAGAGAAGCTGTTGGCTGATTTAAATAACAAAATATATCTGGTCTTTGGCTTCTGAGACTTGTCCAGGGCATCACTAGGAATTCTGAGACCTAAACAGTTTCAACTAGCAGGCTGACTTTGTCAATAGATCTGACTGTTCATTTGTACTTTTAAACCTGAAGTTTCATCTCTTCTCCATGAGATTTAAGGATTCAAAATGTTTTGGCTTCTTAATATCTGGAGATAGGAATGTCAGTTAATCACAATTTTTCTCCCTATTTTGGCATGAGCTTTTATGATACTGCTGTGTCTATTTTTGTCGATGCAGTGATGGAGATGAGGAATTATATTTTGCTGAAATGATTACAAAATCTGATAGAGACAGTTATATATTTCCTTTTTTGTTTGCCTTTCCTATAAGCAGCTCTTGGCTGTATTTATGGTTTCCCTTTATTTCATGCTAGTAAAAACTATGTGAGATATTTATTTTAGTAAGTTTCATGATTGAGTGGGGATTTATTTGAGCCACTGTAGCACACTAGGTCAATTGTCTGATTAGTGAGAAGTTAATACTGGTAAAACAAGAGAGGAGCTCTTGTCACTTTTGTGACATGATATTACAGTCTCATGGAATTCCAGGGCAACCCTTAAAGGATAGCAGTGCTTTAGCACCTTGGGAGTGGCATCCATCTAGTGCCTTTTCTACTATGAAATTCCTATCTCCTTTTATCAACTATAATTTAACATACGGAAGAAAGCCAGTTCAGCAGAATAACTACGAAGTATATTGAAATTACAGTGGTGCCCCGCATAGCGACATTAATCCGTTCCAGGATTAACGCCGCTATCCGGATTCGTCGCTGTGGGGGGGGAACCCATAGGAATGCGTTAAACTCCGTTTAATGCGTTCCTATTGGGGAAAAACTCACTGGTAAGCAAAGATTCCCCCATCCGGCTGCCATTTTCGCTGCCCGGTAAGTGAGGGCAGGGCGCGAAAACACTGCGGGTGGCCATTTTCTGCACCCGGCGGCCATATTGGAACCACCGAGCAGCTGTTTTCTAAACATCACTATGCGAATATCGGTAAGCGAAATGCTTACCGATCATCGCAATGCGATGTTTAGCCTATATTGTTTGTTTGTGGATTATAGCTCTGCTTTTAACACCATTCTACCAAATAGGTTGTTTTTAAAAATGATCAACCTGGGATTACCTCAGGAGATCTGCATGTGGATAAAAGATTTTCTGACAGATAGGCCACAGTCAGTAAGGATGGGATCCCAGCATTCTTCTACCCTGGTACTAAGTACAGGAGCTCCCCAGGGCTGCGTGCTAAGTCCCTTCCTCTATTCCCTGTATACACATGATTGCACCCCACTATATAACACCAATGCAATTATTAAATTTGCGGATGATACGACAGTAGTGGGACTCATAAATAAGAACAATGAGTCTGCTTATAGAAAGGAAGTACAAAGATTGATACTATGGTGTAAAGAAAATCATCTCACACTTAACATCAAAAAAACTAAAGAACTCATAACTGATTTTAGGAGGAAGAGAAATGTACATTTACCACTGTACATAAACGGTGAGGAAGTGGAGAGAGTTGGTAGTTTTAAATTTCTGGGCACTTACATCTCAGAGGACCTCTCATGGACTATAAATGCCAACATGCTAATAAAGAAGGCACAGAAGAGGCTGTATTTCCTGAGAATGCTCGGGAAGTTAAATTTATCACAGCATTTACTTCTGTCCTACTACCGTAGCACCATTGAGAGTGTCCTAACCTATGGCATTCTGGCATGGTTTGGGAGTAGCTCTGTAGCGGACAAAAAAGCTCTACAGAGAACCATTAAAATTGCCCAGAATATCATCGGGCTCCAGCTACAACCCTGGATGACATCTTCACATCCCGCTGTCTAAGGAAATCACATAGCATCCTGAGAGACTCTTCCCATCCTGCTTATAACTTTTTTGAACTGTTACCATCTGGCAGAAGATATAGAACAATTAAGACTCGGACCACACGTTTTCTAAATAGTTTTTATCCTAGAGCTATAATTGCAATTAATAATGAGCTTAAAGACCACCAGTAGTGAATAATTAGTTGGACTGTGTAACTCGGCCTGCGGTGTAGATGTTTGTATTTTTAGTGGGGGACTTTTAGTGGGTAGGGAGTGTTTGGGAATTTTATGTGTGTGCATGTGTCTGGTCTCTGGGTGTCTGTGAATTTCGTTGTATGTGTATACACTTACAATGACAATAAATTATTATTATTATTATTATTATCCTTCTGAGGTAACTTGCAAGAGGTGTATGCGGATTCGTCGTTAAACGTTGCGCTCCTTAAGCGAGGCACCACTGTATATGATTTGGACTAATTTCTTGGAATTTTATATTGTATGGCTTTTTCCCCTCAGAGAACAAAATTGCATTCCAGTTTTAAATATCTAACCTTTTTGGAGATTTGAGTATTCATATATAGGTTTTCCCCCCTTGTAACCTGCTTTTTTCCTGTCCTCATTTTTTGTCCATATGTCTTTATTAATAATGAATAGGTGTAGGAGTCTGCATGCTGATGAACCATAAGATATAGCACATCATTTGAAAGTTACTGCAGGTTCTTAAAAATTTCATTCTGCAATCTAGAAAGTATGTTTTGAAATGCATGTTCAGCAATTTTTATTTGTATTACAGGTTGGAGAAGCAAGGGCACTTTATAACCTTGGAAATGTGTATCACTCAAAGGGTAAAAGTGTTGCCTGTGCAGGTACGCATGATCCTGGGGAATTTCCAGATGACGTTAAAGCTGCGTTACGGAAAGCTGCAGATTATTATGAGTGAGTAACAATTTTGAAAAATGAACTAATATTTTAATCAGGGTTGAAATAGCTTAAACTATTAACAAGTTTATACCTTTCAAATGTATAAAACTGAATTTTGATTTTCTCACCTTAAAGTAAAAAGTTAAAATCTAAAAATATTTACCTTTCCCCCATATCTCTTCAGTGATAATAGCAGCTTAATACTGGCCACTACAAATACAGTGACTGAATTTCCAGGGATAGAAATATCACCATTTTTGGATCTGCAATCATAAGTGCTATTTGCTCTTGTCCTATGAAATTAATGCACATGGTATGGTGACGGGCACATTTCCAGTCGATCAGAGAGATCATTGTACAGTGGTGCCTCACTTAACGGGCGCCCCGTTTAACGACGAATCCGCATAGCGATGGCTTTTTTGCAATCGCTTTTGCGATCGCATTGCAATGTTGCCTATGGGGAAAAATTGTCTTGCGAGCCCTCCCCCACGGTCCTCGCAAAGCCCTAGCTAGCATTTTCCCCCAGGTGAGCAGCGGGAGCTTCCGAAGCCACCGCCGCTCAGCTGGGTGAAAATGCTGGAGGTGGCTTCGGGAGGACCGCAGGGGAGGGTTCCCTCCCCCGCGGTCCTCCCAAAGGCCCCATTTTCGCACAGCTGATCGGCAGTCCCAAAATGGCTGCCCGCTGCGTTGCCTCACTTTAGAGGCACCGAAAATGGCCGCCCCTATGGAGGATCTTTGCATAATGGTGAGTTTTCCCCCCATAGGAATGCATTAAACAGGGTTTAATGCGTTCCTATGGGGTTTTTTGCCCCGTATAGCGACGATTTATCCAGAACGGAATGTTGCTATGCGGGGCACCACTGTATTATGCAAAGCCCTTGTGTCCCACGTTTTTGTGAATTACAAACAAATGTTCCATTATATGTGGAGTTATTCTGAAGCACTCTGAATGGCAGATCCATTGGATTACAGTTTGTTTCATCCCCATCCAGCATGATCTGATTGTGTTGGGTAGGCATGTTGACAATTATACTATAGAGTGGCCGTTCACAACAGGGTGGTATTTGGCCTCCTGGGGGCCCTGGCACATTTGAAGGGGGGCACAGACTGGAAACAGTTCCTCACACACCACTTTATAAAGTTCATTATGCAACTTATATATATGACCTATATTTCTTTCATATTGTGTTTATGAGTGTGGCCAAAAAAAGGTTGAGAATAGCTGCCATAGAGGGCTGTTCAGTGGATTCTTGCTTCCAAATAGTTGTCACAGGTTGCTCCATTCTGAATTTATTACAGAAATCCTACTTTAATGTTGTAAAAGTTTCACCAACTTTAAAAGATGAGGTGCAGCCTTCTCAGGCAACAATTTTTTCCTGGTCATTAGTCATCAATCACACAAATGATTTTCTCTCCCGAGTGATGAGATCCATGGACCATTGGTTTTGTCTTTGTTCTCTTTCTGCCTAATCACCTACATCTTGCCATAATTATATGCTTAGGGAGGAGAGGAGGAAGAAAATCCAATAAATAATAAAGCAGATTTAATAAAGCCAATTTAATAAAGCCGATAAATGCTGGGAAAAGAAGGCAACAGGAAAAGAGGAAGACCAGATACAAGATGGACAGACTCCTTAAAGGAAGCCACCGGCTTGGGTTTACAAGAGCTGAGCAAAGCAGTTGGGACAAGACTTTGTGGAGATTGCTCATTCATAGGATCACCATTTGTTGGAGGTGACTTGACAGAACATAACAACATTAAAGCCAAGACACGAACCAGTTTGCTTTTAATTTGCTTATGTTCGTTCAAGTTCTGATAAAAAATCTGTCATGCTGCTAATGATGCTTACATAGACATAGTTGTCTCTGCTGAAACTCCTTTCTCTGAATTCTTTGTACATGTCTACCACTCAGCTTTGGCAAGATAAAGAATCTGGAATTTGTGGGCTCCTCTTTACTGTGGAAAAGCCACTATTTTTCCTAATGCTTCCTGTATGGAACTGAAAATATATGCTGTTTCAGTGAATCTTTTGTCTGCCATAAACTAAGGACAAGTTGGGCACAACACAATAATTTTTATATACGTTCACCATAACTAGTTATAACTCATGAAGGAACATTCAGATGGATTGAAATCCCAAATACAGTGGTGCCTCGCACAGCGAGGTTAATCCGTTCCGGATTAACCCTCGCTGTGTGAAACATCGCTGTACGGAAAGAAAAAAGCCATTGGAATGCATTAAACTTAGTTTAATGCGTTCCAGTCGGCTGATTTACTTACCGTACAGCGATGTTCCTCTATGGCCTGCAGCCATTTTCGCGCCCTCCCCTCGCTTAACGAGGGCACGAAAACGCTGCGCGTGGCAATTTTGGGGCTTCCGGCGGACATTTTGTAGCCGCGGAACAGCTGAGCGGCGGGGCGCAAAGCGAAGGTCGGTAAGCGAACCGCTTACCGACCTTTGCTCTGTGATTTTCGCCCCTTGGGGCCGTCGCTCTGCGATCGCATTAGCGATCGAAAAAACGTCCCCGTAGAGCGAATTCATTGCTCTACGGGGCGCTCGTTGTGCGAGGCACCACTGTACTGTTTTGGTGAGGTAGTTCTTTTGGAGAAGACAAGAATGTTTTCTGGCTGCCATCATCGCTTCAGATGATGTTGGAAACATCCAACACTAAACAACGTTTTTGTAATTTATCTTGGGTAGCTGTAACATACCTTGTGATGCTGAGTTACTTTCTGACATTAGTTCCATCATTTTTCTTGGGGCCAAAGAACCAACTCCTTAGACTCTCTCTGGATTACACTTGCAAAGAGGGGCGGACGGGCTTTCCATCCCTACCCTTTAGAGTAATGCAACGTGAATGATAAATTCAGGCAGCATAACTTCATCTCATTCCTAGTATAGTTTGCATTTGTTTTTTTATAAATAAGCTTACTGACTCATATTTACTGCTTATAATAAAAGTAAAAGGATATTGGAAATTATAATCTTTGTTATTATTATAATATATAATATAACTATCATAATATAATTACAATAGTTATAATAGTTATAATTATAGCACCTTGGTAGTGGTAGCATATATTTTACATAAGCACAGTAAACAGGATTCTACAAGCAAAATCAAAAGATGAGGACCCAGACAAAAATTATAACTGTGGAACTAGATCAGCACCGAATTTGGCACAGATGTAGCAGACAATCTGCTCTTGCTGTGTGCCAAATTTGGGGAAATTTGGGGAAAGGGTTTTGAGTTGTGATTTTTAAAATAAATGACACTGTTTTACCTCCCATGCAGAATCAAGTGACCATTTTCTCAGTTAATAGAAAAGAGATGAAAAGTGTAGATAGGACAAAACTAGGCAAACTGGGGGTGGGGTGGGGTGGGGGAGAGAAAAGCCTCCATTTTAACCACTCTTTCTTCATCCACACAAATTGGGACATACCTGACTCTAAATCAGACCCTTTAATTGCTGCTTTTTAATTCCTAAAACTTCTGAAATAGCTACCTTTTAAAATAACTTCTCAGAACTCCAAAGGAACTATTTGCATAGCATAGCATTCTGGCCCATCAGAATGTGTCTCTAGTCAGCCCACAGGGCAGGTATTTGTCACTTTTAATGATGCCATGGCCTTCAGTGTGAAAGAAAGCATTTAGCTCCTTCTTGGTCACACATTCTTAGTCCTTCCTGTGGAAATACTTTAAAAGCTATTTTAAAAAATAGATAATTATATACAGCAGCTCACTCATTTAAGATGTGAAATTACTGTTTTTCCCCCTTTGTGGCTTTGAATGATGTCAAAACATGTTTTACCCTGTTTGCTCATGAGTAAGCTTACCCAGTTTAGTTTTAGATCAGTGTGATTTCATGATTTTTAGATGTTATTCTCCCTAAACCAGTGTCGGATCAGACAGATCTGATACCGGAGGGAGAAGGCTCTACATTTTCAGATACCGAAGAAGCCATGTTTTAAAACTGACATGATACTTGAGAAATACCAGGCCTCACAAATCTTACAAAGCCTAACCCTGAAACATGCACACCTAGCAGATAGCATTTATTATAGTTTATCTAGAATAACAATGTAACTCTTTCTCCTGCCTCAACACTGACAATTTAAGTAACAAATGACACAGATGGCCCACCATTGGGATGCAGGGAGGAGGAAGACAGCAATCATTGTTTTAACACTTGCCAGTGAATCACCATCTTGAAGACCTTACATCCAGAGCCCAGGAAGAACATACATAAACATATCAATAGATAAGGGAAATAGAAACTCTCTTCTCTAAACATTCAGGTGCATCCTGACCAAAGATCAAGGTAACATTGGGGCACAATATGGATATTTCCCTATAGCCAATGAACTCTTGTAGCGGGCACCCTCGGCCCAGTGGGAAGCTGGATCCAAAATTGGGGTTCAGATAACCAATAGAAATGTAGTACTTTATGGCTCGTTTTCTATAATTATTATAAAACATATGTACTCTGTATTCTTGGGGCCTTTCTCTCTTCAAGGGAAGGCCCAGCTGACCTATCTATCTTTTGGCATTGCAAAATAAAATTGGACTTTGGTTCACCTGGTACGTCTTAGCCTTTTTCCTTGCCGGAAAACCGGGACCCAGATTTCCATGGTAACAGGAGGACAAGCCTGCCCTCCTTATGTTACCTGGCACTTTTGGGTCCCAATTAATCCGGCAAGGAATCAAGCTAAGACGCAAGCAGCTGAACCAAAGGACCAGTTTTATTTGAATAGCAGCAAAGAAAAGGTCAGCTAGGATTTCTCTTAAAAGCAGAGAAGACCCCGAAGGGATACATGTACATACATTTTATAATGATACAAAGAAAGAGTAATAAAATGCTACATTTCTATTAGTCATCTATACCCCAACTTTGGATCCGATCCCTGATTGGGTCTGAAATGCCAACTGGGCCAATCTAGTGGTCAAGGGAAAATACACATTTCTGTGCCCTCATGTTTTCCTGACCTCTGTTCTTCCTTCCTCCACTTTCCACTGCTTGGCCATCTGGGCCATTTGTTACTTTAGAGGGCTCTTTTGTTTTCCTAAATAGGCCATAAATGCTATCAACTAGTGCTATCAGCTAGGTGTGAATGGCTGTTCGAGTTTCCAAAGTTGGGGCCTTGAAGGCCTGGTAATTGTAAATGCATTCACCTTGGATCCTTTTAAGGAGAAAGGCAGAGTAAAAATATTTTAAATAAAATAAACAAATTCACAAACTGAGCAAATAAGTAAACAAATAAAAATAAGTAAATGTTCCTATAATCTCCATTTGTTAAGCATTTTAACCTCAGATTATGCAAAAATTTATTCTCTTTTTAAAGGCATGTTCTGGGTTTAACATGCTGAGTATCAGCATCTTTGCATCTGCATCTTATCATAACCTCAACACAACATAACTCTTTGTTTTTTTTTCCTCCACAAGGAAAATAACTCTTTTCTTCATCCCATCTATTTTATGCTGGAAATTTTTAGCAAATGCTTTCCCAGAAGATTCTAAATTGGAGTTGTGAGGAGTCTACAAGTCTGAGCTTCTGACTCAAGTAACAGGACCTAATTTAAAATACAAAGACAAGTATTGTATGCACTAGCTACAGAGCATAAGCAAAACATAAAGCAAATATTCACAGACAAAAACAAAATAATAGCTACAGTTTATTCATTAGGGTGAAACACGTTTACCATCATTGACTCAATGAGTTTGAGACTGGGATGACTTGTACAGCAGCTTTTTAAAAGCTTGGATGAAGCTTATTGTGCCTACAGAACTTGCCATGCATGTGTCTGTCTAAGGCTCTCGTGGGGTATGGAAATAGAATATTCTTAATATTTGTGGTTTCTGGCAAATGTTATTTATAATGTCCATAAAATTAGTCCCATAAAACATAAAGCTTTCCTTTGTAACAATAGGAAGACCAATAATATTAATGACATCTAACTGTATACCGTTCCCAAAATAAACCTTGTAATTCATTTGTTTGTTTGGCTGTTATATAGGGAGAACTTGGCAATTGTGACAGAGCTGGGTGATAGAGCTGCCCAGGGGCGTGCTTATGGAAACCTTGGAAATACTCACTATCTCCTGGGGAATTTCAGGAATGCTGTCAATGCCCATGAACAGGTATAAAATGGTATATGTTGGTATTTTCTAGAAATCAGAATTATATTGTTTTCCAACAACAAAAGTAATGAGGTATTTTGTACTTTTAAGAATACATTTAGTAGCTGAGGGGCTCAGTATGATGTAGTGAAGTGCCAGACTAGATTCAGGAGACTTGAGTTTGAGTTCCTGCTCAATCATCAAAATATTCAGATTCCACTGGGATGGAAGGTGGCATTGGTGAAACTGTTCCTTATATATTTCAGTTGCCTTGAAAATGCTATTAGGATTGATGTAAGTCAGATTTGATTAGATGATACATAACCTATATAAATAGCTGAAGACTTAGCAGATGTTAATGTGAATTCTTCCAGACATAGGTATTAAAATGCTTCTATATGTAATCCAAAACTGTGGTTTTAAAAAAGCTTAAGTTAAAGGGGGCGGGTGGGGGAGTCAGTATTTAGTCATATTTATTACTAACGTAATAAAGTGGTGGCGCTGCGGGGTAAACTGCAGAAGCCTCTGTGCTGCAGGATCAGAAGACCAGCAGTCGTAAGATCAAATCCACGCAACGGAGTGAGCTCCCGTTGCTTGTCCCAGCTCCTGCCAACCTAGCAGTTCGAAAGCATGTAAAAATGCAAGTAGATAAATAGGTACCACCTCAGTGGGAAGGTAACGACGTTCCGTGTCTAGTCGCGCTGGCCACGTGACCACGGAAACTGTCTTCTGACAAACGCTGGCTCTGCGGCTTAGAAACAGAGATGAGCACCGCACCCGAGAGTCAGACACGACTGGACTAAATGTCAAGGGGAACCTTTACCTTTACCTGTTACTAAATTAGCCTGTATGATAGGCTAATTTAAGAAGTACAGTTTGACATCTTTGAGATTTATCATGGCTTCTTCTGTTCCGTTTTTCTGGACACAGAAGTGGACATATGCATCCCAATATATTCTAGATGCAAAAACAACTTAAGTGTATTATGAGACTTTTTTTTCCAGCGCCTCTTAATTGCGAAGGAGTTTGGTGACAGAGCTGCAGAAAGAAGAGCCTACAGCAATCTTGGAAATGCCTATATTTTTCTTGGAGAGTTTGAAACTGCTGCTGAATATTACAAGTTAGTCAAATTAGCCTGTATCATAGGCTAATTTAAGAAGTACAGTTTGACATCTTTGAGATTTATCATGGCTTCTTCTGTTCCGTTTTTCTGGACACAGAAGTGGACATATGCATCCCAATATATTCTAGATGCAAAAACAACTTAAGTGTATTATGAGACTTTTTTTTCCAGCGCCTTTTAATTGCGAAGGAGTTTGGTGACAGAGCTGCAGAAAGAAGAGCCTACAGCAATCTTGGAAATGCCTATATTTTTCTTGGAGAGTTTGAAACTGCTGCTGAATATTACAAGTTAGTCAGCATATTACTTACTGTAATTTTTAATGGCAAACACAACTATTCTTATTTCACAAGAAATCCAATCCTTTTAATTTTTATTGTTTTTTCAGTTTTTATTATGTGCATCTACATGGGCTTTTAGCTTTACCTTTTCAAAAGACTAGTGTTTTGTTGTCTCCCCTCTTGTTTTTTTAAATAGTACATGTTCAGTTGGCCTCTATTTCTTTTATTAATTTGTTTCTTTCACTAGTAGAGTATTGCCCTTAGATTTGGCATGGAAGAAAATAAACATGATTTCTGCACATTGTAATTCTGAAAAGCCTAGTATGACTTCCTGAGCAAAAGAATTCTTAATTACACTAAAAAAGCCTAGTATGACTTTCTGAGCAAAAGAATTCTTAATTACACTAAAATAAAATAACAGGATGCGGGGGGGATGAGACACTGAGGATCTCTGGGTCTCTCGCACAGGGTTTCATGGAGCTCAGAGGATCCTGTTTACACACTTCAGCTTTAGAATATAAAGGCATTCTGTGTTCATGAGCTTCAAAAGTATATTTCAGCTTTCTAAGTGGGCCTCTTGTCTTGAGGCAGGATATGTCACACTTAGGCAGAAATCCTGTATGTGCTCATTTGGAAGGAGGTCCCATTGAACTCAGTAGGGTTTTTTGATGAATAAATACGTATAGGATTGCATTTAAGCTTCTAATTTACTGTAATCAAAGAGACATAATTATAGCATTGATGCTTAAAGCAGGATATTTAGTTAGTTACAGCCAGGCATTATAGTGTACATTAGTCCCATAGCTTAAAAATGCAATATGATAAGTACCAAGTGTGATTTGGAGAATATCTCTTTTTGATACATCTTACTTTATATACTGTCTCCAGATGCTTTCCCAATACATTCAAATAAAAATGAATGAAAAACAAAATCAGCACTTGCTTTAAAATTTTTTTTAAAAACCCCAATAGTAGCTGACAAAACATGGAATTAACAGTCAAAATTGTCTGCTTGGTGGAAACTCAAAAAAGGTAGTGTTAAATGAATGACCCATGGAAGGGAATGCTAAAGCTTCAGAGTGGCAGTTGAAAAGGCCATACTTGTTGTAAAGTTCACTTCGGCACCCAGGTAGAGTGGGAGTTGGAACAGGACCTCTCCAGCTGCTCTTTGAGCTATAGCCCGATTCCAGTTATGAGTTGTGATGGACTAAATTGTTACTACTGTTGTTGTTGTTGCTGCTGCTGTAATCATGCTGAGCTGAATGTGCATACAGGCTTCATGTTAAAGATGTGAAGGTCTTGCTGATGTTGAAGTGCACTCAGGATGGGCTTAAATGCATATTCACATGTCTAGAGATTCACAGTCTGAGGCATAATGCTGGAATAGAGATAGTGAGGATAGAAATCTAGACACTATATATGTTCATACAAGAATATGCATGTCACACACCCCCAGTTCCTCCGTTTGTTTTTCTACACACCCAGGTTCCCTTTCAGGCATGACCTGTATTTTTCACCCTTTTTCGCTGTCAACAGAGGATATGTTCCTCTCTGTACCAAATATCACTATTAGATCAGTGTTGTCCAATATAACAATGTTTATTATGGTTTTGTAGGTAAATCATATAAAGAAAATCATGCATGGTCTTTTATTATTCATTCAATAAACGTTGCTTCGATTACATTTATGTTTGCTTATGTAGATTCACTTTAATCAAGGTATTTATATATTCAACTCTTTATTTCTTAGCACTTTTAACTCTTTCCGATCTTAACCACATAAACTTTCCAAGACTTGTCCTATTCCTATCTCTTTCTCTATCTCTCTGTTACTCTTCTCTCTAACACAACCACGGCCCTAACTGGCTAAACTGTCAATAACTGCCTTTCTTTCCCCCTTTATTCCTCTGGTTCCACCCCTCCTGTCATGTCATAGGCTCCCCCATCAGGGCTCTGAACTGATTGACAGGTGTGTTCTGAGAGCTGTCTGTCACAATGCACTCCCTGATATATCCAGGATATCTGGATATCTGTTTATGGTGATGGAGTAGGCAAAAAAAAGCCTTGTACTAAATGAAGCACTTGAGTGTCTGTTCACTCTGTCCCATCTGCACTTTGCCAGACAAAGTAAGGTGAAAGGCAGCAAAGAGACATAATTCATTTTAATTTTTGAAACTGATGCACAGATGGACCATAGATGGCCGAAGCTTCTCTGACAATCAAAAAAAAAAAAAAAATGGTCACATGAGCTCCATTGTTAGAAGCTAGACATGGATTGGACAGTAGCTTTATTGCATCACTTAAATGTTCCAAATAAGATGAGCTTCTTTGGAATTTTTCATCAGGCAAATTAGTATAAACTTGGGATTAAGGCAAGAAGAATTTGCCTTAACACTGTTTTGTACCATCTTTCTGAAGAACTCATCTTTTAACTTTTTTGTCCTCTAGTAAACTCCAGCTAAAACTTGCCTATCATTTCTAGTTCTCCCCTCCAATGCACAGATATAGGAGTTATTTGATGGATTCCTGGTTATTCTTTTGGTTCAAGGAGACAAAAATAATTGTATCCCCACACACAATATGCTTAGTGCTGGGGTTGCTGGCAAAAGAGACAACGTGATAAGGGTTTTTTGGAGACAGTTTGGAAACAACTGTTGTACATTTATAGATTAGCTAAGATTAAGTGTCAGGACAAAATCCTTGTGAATTTATAGTGTAACATTTTCATTTTCTGTTCATGCATATATAGAGTCTAGATTTCTATACAGTTATTGATTAGACTAAAAGTAAAAATTCAGCACACATAAATCATGGGTTCCATGCCAACGTACTGGTAGTGATGTTTACATAGAAATATAGATTATATCAAGCTGTTTTTCTTTCAGGAAGACATTACAGCTTGCCAGGCAGCTTTCAGACAGAGCTGTAGAAGCCCAAGCTTGTTACAGTCTTGGAAATACATATACTTTACTTCAGGACTATGAAAAGGCTATAGATTATCATTTGAAGCATTTGGCAATTGCTGAAGAATTGAATGACAGGTAAGCCTCCCCACCACCACTTTATCATAAAGATCCTAAAGCAGAATTGTTTTGGGATCCAGAGAGCTGCTTTACATGTACAAGATCCTGGATTCCCTCAAATCCAGACAAAGAAAACATTATGTGTCTCAGATCTGCATTCAGTGGGATTTTATGCTTTCCTTCTATGTCATCTCTTTAAATAAAGCATATGGGTGTTGTGTCAGTGCAGAAACCAGCTTTGAAAACATTCAGAGCTTAAAAGAGAAATATTTTCCCTTCTCCCATAAATACTGTGCATGACCAGACACACCATTATGTTTCTCCCTGAGTTCTCTTTTGTCTGCCATGTAAGCAGCACCTTGAGAGAACACTAGAGCTTCAGTTTATTTCAGAGTTGTAAATAGTTTATTATATGTACCGATTCTCTTCTCTCCTCTCATCTCAACTTTCATTCTTTGATACAAAAAAATTAATTTATTATTGGACTTCTGTATTTCCTATTCTTCTGTTTCCCACCTAAATGTTTTATGGCTTCTGTGAGTCTCTTTAAGAAATGCACTAGTTATGTAGGCAAAGTGCCACATACTGACAGGACAGGCTAAATGCCGTTCCTGTTTGGGTGAAGGACATATCACTCTGAAGTATAAAATTTGTAGAGTTTCACTTGTTTTACTCAGACAAGTTGGAGAAACCTAAATATCATAAAAAGAAAGAGAAAGCTCATGATAATGTTTCTCAACCTATTAAATCCACAACTATATCTCTAAAGGCTGCCTCACCTAGCCAGTTGCTAACTCTTTCGAATCCAGACAACGAAGACATCATGTTTCTCAGATCCGTATCAGGAGGCAAACTAGTTAGCTCACCTGCCTTTGTTACATCACATACAGTACTCCAATCACCTGGTGAGTTGGTGCATCAACTGTTGATGGAGTCTGTCTCCACATCAGTGTACCCCCTCTCAACCTCAGACCAAATTGAAGTCAACTATCAATATCAGCACCCAGGTCTCCATCCTGTTGTTGAGCTATGTAGTATTTATTGAACTATGGTTTACTGCCATTTGCTATTGGACCTCAGTTTCCATATGAACCCTTCAAAATCACAATTTCAACTGAGAAAATTCAATATATCAGGACTGTGTTGGATTCAGAATTAGTAAGGGTTATTTTTGCAAGGAGACAGATTCCAAGAAATTATGTGCATAGTCACTCAGTTATAGTAGAATTTACTGTGTGTATGGTGCAATGGTTGTTATGCCTCATGGCATCTACTACCGTGGTGGTAGCTCATTCCAGGTTGAAAGTGATTATAAAATTGTGGTTCCTACAAAAAATTCAGCTTTTTGACAGACCATCCTCTAAAGAGCCTTCAGTTATAAAATGACCTAAGGACTCAACTGATGCAGTGGACTGTACCTTTTCATCTCTTAATGGGAATGCCTTTCAAGCAGCCTCAGGCACAATAATGACAAGGCCAGCCTTATACACATTCTGTGGTCTATGGCAGAATGCACTCATCATATAAATTATCTAGAACCGTTGGCAGTCATCAAAGCTGAGAGCTTTTGAGATGAGATTGTTGAGGAAAGTGGTTCAAGTTACTGCTGACAATACTACTTCTCAATGTTCATGTGTGGGAGTGGTGCATCACATGGCACATTTCCTGATAGTGATCCATGTCTTGAGGGAAGAAAATCAGCAGATTCCCTCAGTTGTCTAACAAAACTAGTAACATGAGTGCAAACTGTCTCCAGTTGTGCATACTCAACACAGGGGTTGTCCACAGATAGATGTTTTTGCAACTCAATGCAGTCACAAATTCAGGATATGTATTTTTTTGATCAAGTCGAGGCCCCAAGTCTTGAGGGGATGATTTTACCATAGACTGCGCAGAAGATCCCATGGACATGTTTCCTACTTTCCCCCTAATATGCAGGACAGTTGTAAAAATCAGGAAGAACGAATGCAATCTTAATAGTCCCATGGTAGCCATTGCATCTGTGGTTCGCTATGCTGTTGACCATGCTAGCAGAATACCCCACATACCAGACCTTGTGTGTCACAGAGTTCAGGTCAGAGATCTGGATATTCCTAGGCATAGTTTGAAAATATGGATAATTTTTTTAGATAGAGATATTTGCAGTACAGTATCTATAGAACCTTCTTCTAAGAAATCTTATGGGTGAAAATGGAACAGTTTTCTTGATTCTTCATCGTGGTCTTCTGTGAATGCACACAAGGGTTAAATCAGCACCAGCGCTGGTCTCCTCGGAACGTTCTAGAGCTCTGTAGAAAAGAAACATAGTTAGAGATTGCCTATACTGCGCATGCTCCGCCCACCCCAGCCTCAGTTCCATTTCTCCACCGTGTGAAGTGGTTCTTCTCGGCTTGAGCTCTTCTAATTCGTTTATTGTTCTATATTTTTTGACTGCTCCCTCTTACGGTTTTGACCTTGGCGTGTTTAAGGACTACTCCTTTGAACAAACGGATCTATTGCAGTGTGTTATTCCCTTCCCCTTGCCCCTTTGGGAGCCATTTCCACTTTCCCGCTCTTTTTATTTATTTATTTATTTTTTATTTATTTATTTATTTATTTATTTATTTATTGTATTCATACCCCGCCTATCTAGTCATTTCGATCACTCTAGGCGGCTAGAACGGCGGTTCCCTCCTGGCCTTGCTTATGCCTATGTCCCCCCACCTTCCGGGCCCTTCAGTAGGTGCATGGTCTGCTCGGCTAAAATCCCTTTCCATGACAGACACGACACCTGCCTTTTTTGTCTGGGGGACTCTCATTCCCCCCAAAATTGTCAGCATTGCAAAGCATTCACTAAAGCCGTGCTGAAAGCTCGTCAGCAACGGCTTAAGTTGCACCTTTGGGGATCAGCTCTTTCAGCATCTAAGCCTTCCGACATGGAGCTTCCATCCACCTCTCCTGCTCCACAGTCGGAGGTTGAAGCCGTTCCAATGCCTTCTTCTAAGTCTGCAGACTTACCCATTGCTAAGCCTCCCAAAAAACCGTCTGGGGCTAAGAAGGTTTCCGCAGCAAAGACGTCAGCTGCTGCAAAACCTGGAAAGCAAGCAAAAGCAAAAACGTCAGCCAAGAATAAGGACACTGTCTCCCACCAGTTGTCTTGCCACCAGTTTCTGTGTCTCTACCCTCTCCTATTTTCGAAGACTCCCCGAGAAACGGAGCCTCTGTGTTGGAGTCAGCCACTCCACTTCCGCTGAGGCAGACTGAACCGACTTTACCCCTTGGCGCTCCCCCACCGCAGCCAAGTCAGCTTGTTCAACCAACTACAAGCTTGGGTTTTGGCCCATTTAGTCCTGTGTCTACTGGGCGGGCATCTCCGGCTCCCTCAGTGTCTTCGCTGCCACTGCAACCCTCCCCGCCGCCGAAGAAGAGGGTGGATAAGCGCAAGCATGTCAAGCGCGATCGACATCGCTCGCCCCGTAGAGAAAGTGAGGGGAGGCACCAAAGAGCACGATGTCGTCACAGGTCTTCTTCAGATGACTCCACAACTTCGGGGTCAAGACATAGGCGGGGCCAAAGACGTCATAGGCGGCGCTCTTCCACATTGTCCTCTTCTATGTTGTCCGATCGCCACCGTCACCGCCGCCGCGTCAAGTACATTTATCTTTCATCCTCCTCCTCGGCGTCGACCCCTCCTAGAAAGCGTCGCCATCGACACCAGCGACCAACTGAGGAAATTCCACCTGTCCCAGATGCTGGGCAAGCCATGTAGGAACGCGGTGTTGTGCCTCCGACGTTGACCGCACCTCCTCCATCTCAGCGTGCCACCACTGCAGCACTCGATGTTGAATCTCGACATGGCAAAAGGAGGCACGAAGTATCTTCCGACGACGACGCCCCCTTCACAGGCATCTGATTCAGAGGGAGAACCATCTCAACAGCCTAACAACGAGGATTTACCCGTTGGAGAGACAGTGGGATCTGACATGGGTGATCCTCATGACTCCTCACCGTCTGAGGACTTTTCTTCGTATTCCCAGATGTTGCCACGACTGGCTAAAACGCTTAAGCTACGCGTGGATGAACCTGCTCCTATGGAGGAAGACCTTATTTTTGGGGACATTAATAAAGAACGGTCCCCTCCCCCCAGTTTATCTTACTTACCAGCATTACTTACTATCATCAAGGAACTTTGGGACCGTCCTTCAACCTCGGTCCCATTGCCCAGAAGGACTGAAAATATGTATAAGATCACTGGGGATGCCGCTAAATTTCTACTGAAACACCCTATTCCTAACTCCCTGATTGTGGAAACCAGCTGTACTAAACCATCAGGGAGGGCCCATGTTGTCCCAACTAATAAGGAAGGCAGGAAATTGGAAATGATAGGCAGGAGGATCAACTCTCTCATTTCCTTTATCTTGCGAGTAGCTAACTATCAAACTGCCTTAGGAGCCTACCAGAAGCAGTTGTGGCTCAAGATATTGCCTGGATTAAAGATGCTACCTGACGATGTCAAGCAAGCCTACCTGAACACCTATGAAGAGGCTCAAACGGTCTCTAAGCATCAAAGAATTGCCACCAGGCACTCTGTGGAAGCAGCGGCTAGGGTGCTAGTATCCTCTGTCACCCTGCGTAGGCATGCGTGGCTTCGTTCTGCAAATATCTTGGATGACGTAAAGACCAAAGTGGAGGACTTACCCTTTGATGCCTCTGGCCTTTTTAATGACAAAACCGATGGACATCTCGAGGAACTTCACAAGGCCAAGAAGACGGCTAAATCGTACTATATCCAACCCCAGCCTAGGTTTCCCAGGTATCAATGGAAAAAGTCCCCTAACCAATACACCCAGGCCCCTCAACAATATAGGAATTACAAGGAGCAGTCTCAACCCAGATCATTGCAGAGTGCACCATCCACATCCACTTACTGGCAGCCGCCCCAAAGATGCCAATCTTACAAACCACCTGCAAAGAAACAAAAGCATTATCTTTGACTTGGCTCCAACACCACCGCTTATCACCACCGACACAAGACTACA